ACCTTCACATTGGGAGGGGAAGTTTTTGACTTTATCTGGGAATGTTGGAGCCAGCATGGCTGCCAGAGCCTTCCAGGGGAGTCAGAACTGCAGTGCTAACGATTTGTTAATGACTGAGGGGCTGACCTTGCTCTGAGGCAGGTAGAGCACATAAAAGAGGTCAGAGAAGTATGATAGGGGAGGGGCATATTTTTTAGGCTCATGTTAGGATGCTAAGGAAGTATGGTGAGAGTAGGATGCACTTGTGGGCTCCAAGAGCCAGAGACATCCTGTCTTTTGTGAGCCTATAGGCCGGATGTCTCCCACGCTATCTGCTGCCTCATTAACTTATTGAAAACTCACATAAGCACTGTTACAGTTATTTTCATTTTCTCCATCTTATAGACGTGGGAACGAGGGTACAGAAAGGTAAGGTGACTTGTCCAAGGTCACGCGGCAACTCCTTACCACATCTAGGCGTTAAGTCCAGGCATCTAGCTCTAGTGGCCGTGATCTTGACTGATTTGATCTGTGTTAAGGGTTTAGTGGGGAGGAAAGGAAGAAAGCACTATTTAGGGATAAGATTAAACTGAGAGGTTGTGTCCGTAATGGCAATGGAATATACTCCTGTGGGGAGTCTGTATAGGACAATAAGGAGTTTAAAGAGTTCAGATTTGGGAGTCGAATGGTTCTGGATTTTTAGCTCTGTCACTTACTGTGTGGCCATTCTTGCCCCGATTTCTCAATGGCTTCTGGTAGGGTTGCACCCCCATCCTCTGTGGGTTATAGCCTCATGGTGAGTGGGGTGTCCTATGACGCCCCCAACTTTGGGACTGGCCAGGTGACTCACCATGGAGGTGTACACCCCAGTCTATACTGGCTCCAGCTAGTCACCCCTTGGAGGGAACCACCTCAGCTCACTGCAGATGTCTGAAGGAGACCTTAGCACTTCCCAATTCTCGTCTCTGAGATTTTGTGGTTGTTTGTTTAATTTTCCCAAGAGTAAAGTCAGGATAAGCCTCATTCTCTCAGCTGCAAAAGGATTATAAAAATACTTTGCTCTTGGGGATGCTGTGAGGACTTGGTGAGCTAATAGGACCCATGAACATTGTGAAGTAGAACTGCATTTCTTTAATTAAAAAATTGGTAATAAACCCAGGAGGTACATTAAAATTTTCAACATTTCCAGAGGAAAGCGTGAAATGATAAGATGTTCATTCTGTCAGGATAATATTCAAAATGGCAAGCTTTGAGTGAGTCGTCTGAAGATCTGCTGTCAAAGTATCTATTTACTTCCAGGTCATTCTTATCTAGGCATTAATGTGACTTCTTAGTATACAGATGTTTTACATCTTTGAAGGATGAATTGCTTTTGTTCTTAGTCATTTTTAACCAGCTTGGGCTTCCATTCTAACTCACTAATTTCACAATGGTTATTTCACAGGCATGATAAAATTTAAGCATATATAATAATTTTAGCCCATGTGTTTATTGCTTAAAACTTCCAAACACAGATATTACCTCAAAAAATGTGCCCAAAATGTAACACATATGTTTCTAAGGTATAGTGTCAATGTCCTTTAATGATCTAAAGGGCAGGGGGAAAGACAAGGGAGTAGGTTTTTATTTTATTTTATATTTTTTATTACCACATGTTTCTAATGCATAACAGTCACATTCATCATTGGGAATTTGTACCTGTACATAATATAATCTTACCACTATTTTATTTGTTTGGTTTTTTTTTTTTTTTTTTTTGGTACCGGGGATCGAACTCGGGTCCTTGCTTTTGCGCAGCAGGCGGCGAAACCACTGAGCTAAATCCCCGGCCCTCATAATATCATCTTAATTCTTCTTCTTTTTTTTTCTCATTCCCTTCCTCTTCTTTCAACTTTTCTTACTCTTCTGATTTACAAAACCTTTTGTTTCCATTCTTTTTCTTTATTCTCTCTTTTTAAAATCCCCTTTCCCTTCCTTGCTTTCTTTCCTGTGGCTTGTGTCTAGATGTACCCCCTAAACTTCATGCAGTTGTAGGTGCTTTTTCAGAGGTGGTTGAATCTAGAGTGTGTGATTGAGTCATGGCGCAATGCGTGGATTAAGGGTGGGTGATTACTCAATCAGTCCACTGATGGGTTTGGCACCGCCCTAATCCCGGTAGCATGGATACAGTATAAGGTACAGAAGGAGGCTTGTCTTGTCTCCTGCTTGCTTTGGTACCTTCTGCCCAGAGTGAACTGTTGCTCCTCACCACTGCAATTGCTGTCTGCCATCCCACCCGGCCTTGGAGCCAGCCGATTATTGACTGAAACCTTTACAAACTGTGAGCTCAATAAACCCCTTTCCCCCTTTAACATTGAGTGTTGGGTATTTTGTCTCAGCAACAAGAGAAAAATAACGAAGACACCCCCTTTCCCTTGTTCCCCTTACCATTTGAGCAAGTTCTTGCTAATTCCCATTATAAATGTTCCATTTTGCTCCTTATTCATCCTTTGGGTTTCTCACACAAAAGAAACAATGGGATATTTAAACTCGTGTGTACGATTTATTTCACTTAAAATTATGGTCTCAAGATGATGACCTGGACAGTGTTTGATGTTTGCTTCGGCTGGCTTCCATGAGCAGGCGTAATATTAAACTTCCTCATAATGTTTTTATAGTGTGTTTCTACAAGTTTAGAAGAAAAGGCTCCAGCCAAGTAGAGAAGAATGTGGAAAATTTGCATCTTTTTATGATAAATCCTGTGAGATATTTAAAAACGGATGTGTAGGGAAGATAGCATGTGCTTCTATTGCTGTTTTCTATGCTAATATTAGTGGACAATATCCAAGAATTAATTTTAAAAGGCTGATGAGGCTTTTGCAACATACTTAGCATGCTTTCGTCTATTTGATCTGGTAACTTTGGGTCAAAACTCTGGTTCAGTGACTGTTTCTTTCTTCACCAGTGAGCAAGCCAGAACTTTAAGTGGTCTATAATTATAACAGTGTAACTGAACATTTATTCTAAAAACAAATCACATATATTACAGCAAGACGGCAGAATGCCAGTTTATTAATTGTTATTGAAGTGCTGATAAGCCAGTTATCTGGAGGAGGAAAAAAATATGATCTAGAGTGTTTGTCAAGTTCTTTGGTATAAATATTTCCACTGTGACTGATTTCCAGCATCATTCCTTTAGCAACAGGCTTGCAACGTTCCTAAATAGTTTAATAATAAGCTTCTATAAATCAATTCGAGCCAGCCGCCAGCATACCAATGATGCTTATACATACTAGAACTGTAGGTTGGAATAATGATACTCTTAAATTATCTTTCAATGCCTTTATTCAATTAAAGCATCCATTAAGATTTTATAGTAGATTTAAGGATACTTTATAATGCAGGTTTTAATAATTTGAGTCACAAACAACTTTGAAGAGCTGATCAAAGTTATAAACCTCTGCAAGGGAAGAAAAAAGTGCATACTAAGAATTTTGCATGCAATTTCAGGGGCCTCCTGGGCCTCCTGACATTTGTTCATTGGTTTCAGTTTAGGAATATATGTTATTTATTCAAGTTGGAGCAACTAATTTGCCAAGCAACATTTTTAATGTCATTGTTTCAGTTCCCTAACTTCATGGATAACCGAAGAGCTCCAAAGTTGCTATCTTACAGCATAAGAGTTAAATCCGTGAGGTTTTATTAATCATGTTTACTATCTGGCCTTTCTGTCACTTGTCTAAAATTCAGAGGTCACAAGAAAGCCAAGAAAAATCAGGAGGTCAACAGTTAATGGCATTATACAATTTAGGTTTATTATTTTACTTTGTTCCAATTTGTGTGAAGTATTATGTAACTCCAGGACTTGTGACATTTCAATTTTAATTTTGACATACATCCTATATTTATATATGTGCACGATGTATGTATTTATATGGACTAAAACACAATCAAAACTGGTTTTCTTTTTGACATTGCTTCCTGAGCAGGTCAAACTAGGTTCTGACTAGGCTTAATTGAACTGTTTTACTTTCCGACTAGGTCAGACCTCTTTGTATGCAATCTCATAATAGTAGTGTTTATATTTTATAGCACACTTCACAATTAGATTTAAGTAATTAAAATAGTGATTTTTTTTCAAAGATAATTTTATCTTCTACTAGATGTAAACTTGCAACCAGGAAATTCATAACCTGGCATGATGCATATAACCTACTCATCACTGGAGATTAGTTGAATGACAGAATTAATGAGTGAATAATAAATTTTAAGAGAAAAAGATAAGTGAGAAGCAACCAAAAATGTAACTAAGATTTTAGTTGAGCAACACAGTTGCTAGCTGCACCTTGAGTGTTGGATCTTTCTCTGTCCATCCACTCACAGGGATGCCACTTCCCCTCCTGGTCACTGGGAGTTGACATTAAGGATCATGACTCTACTCGGTTTGTTTTCAGAATGTCTCCACTGTAAAGGCATGAAGGAAACTGATATTACCTCCAGTTCTGGGGATTTGTTGTGCTGAGTCTTTCCCACTTAATCTTTCATGACTAGAGATTCATATTCACTGATGTAATTTACAAATTAGGTATTATAAATCCATGTCTGGGGCTGGGGATTTAGCTCAGTGATTCTGCTGCCTGCCTCACAAGTGGAAGGACCCGAGTTCCATCCCTGGTACCGAAAAAAAAAAAAATAAATCCATGTCTGGATCCAGTTATGAAAATGGCTAGGGTTTTTTTTTTATATAGTTTATGTCTCTTTCAGCCTGCCACCTCAGCATTCTCTCTTCCTTTATTCCTATTCATCTCTAAGTTGAAATTATATCTGATCCTATTCCTAATGAGGAGTGACTGCTGATGACACTGGAGACTGGAGTCCTGGGGGTGATAATTCTCCAAGATATCAGGGGAGCTCTTAAGGTGAAAGGCTTCAGGACACTGTACGAAGTCATGCTGTGTTATATGGGCCAGTAGGGCAAATAGATGGCTACAGAGGAGTGCTGACATGGACTTCTCAAGTCATAAAGAGCAGACCAGCACCGATGTGTCTTCCTCCTGGGGCTCACAGTGGCCACCGGTTGTCAGAGTGACAGCCTGACTCAGAGTGCAGGTGACCCAGCCCAAATCTTCTTAGAGGGGAAACTGCCCTCCCTATAGGCCCTGTGCCTTGCCAGGCACATTGGCTTCATGAGCTAGAGAGGAGGCAGGAGGCAGTGAGGAATTTAGTCCTAGGAAAGACGATGGCCTCTTCCACGGGGTCTGCTCCGTGCAGAGGGCTGTGGACAGGGGAGAGTTGCAGACGGATGACTGGCAGGGAAGCTGGGGACCTGGCTCTTCAGTGAGCTCCACCAGGTGGCGTTCGGTGAGGAAGATGGTCCGCTGGGCAGGGGGCCCTCGTGAGTGGTCCTGGGAGCCGCAGCTTCTGCAGGGAGGAGAGATCACATTCCGGAACGCTGCCCGGAAGCGGCGAGACAGTAGGTTATAGATGATAGGGTTGACAGCAGAGCTCAGGTAGAAGAATACACCTGGAACACAGGGGATTAGACAGGACATGCTGAGAAGAAACTGAGAGGCACGAGAGGGAGAAGCATAAATAGTTAGCAAAGGCTGGGATCTCTGTGAGCGCCTCTTTTGGGAAGTGATGATGGGTACAAAACTCTAATTGAGAGTACAAAATGTTCTGAGCACATCTACTTCCTGTGCATTTAGGAATCAAACACAAAAAGATTAAAGAGTCTAGGAAAACAAAACTTCAGGCTGGCATGGGATCTCTCTGAGATGTTCGGTAACTTCCTTTGATCCTTACTTGTTTAATTCAAGAGCATGTTCTCATAGCATTATCAAGAGATGCTTAAGTATTAGAGGAAAGAGAGATTTTTTT